ATGATTGAATAAATTGACAAATTATTCATTATTATCCCGATTAACTCGTTATATATATTACCAACCAACCAACCATCCAACCAACCATTCAGCCAACCAACCAACTGACCAATCACAATCAACTAATGAAAAAATAATCTCACCTTATTGGACAGATCTTACTGGACTTAGGTTCGTCAGCCAATTACAGAGACGAAAAAGGGATCACCCCCCTCTACATGGCAGTTTTCCACGTAGCTTCCGCCAGGTGCGTTGAGATGCTCTTGTTCGATCACTCTATCGTTGGGATTGTGGATGAATACGGATGGACTGAACTGCATCACGTGAGGATGAATGAATGAATGGATGGATGGATGGATGGATGGATGGAAGGATGGTGGATGGAAGGATGTATGGATGGTTGGATGGATGAATAAGTGGATGGGTGAATAGATGAATGGATGGATGAATGGATGGATGGATGAATGAATGAATGAATGAATGGATGAATAAATGAATGAACGAATGAATGATTAGATAGATGGTTGGATTTGTAAATGAAAAAACGATTGATTGATTCGATGAAGGCATGCAAATCCGGAAAAGTTCAGCACGTGGAACTCCTCCTTTATTACGGATCCGATCCCAACAAGCAGAACTGCAGTGGGAACACGCCACTCCACATTTGCGCCATCAACAACCAGGTCTATATCTTGATTTGTATGTTTTTGTTTGTTTGTTTGTTTGTTTGTCTGTATGTTTGTTTTAAGGTTTGTATGAGGGTTTGATTGTTTGTATGTTTATTTATTTGTTTGTTTGTATGTTTTTTTGTTTGTGGGTTTGTTTGTTTGTTGGCAGTTATGTTGGTTAGCATGCAAGTTGACACGCACAGTCACTCATACATAATTACAAAAACACATACATACACACAAAAACACATACAATCACACACATACACACACATAAACACACAATTACACATACATACACACAAACGAAACGAAACGAAATTTTATTTGCTCCATAAAAATTAGAAAAAAAAGAATTTAATGATAAGAATTCCACACACGTACACACAAACATACACACACACACACACACACACACAAACATACACACACACACACACACACAAACATACACACACACACACCAAATAAACACACCAGGAAGAGTGTTTGAGAGTGTTGCTATTTCGCGGAGCTGACAAGACGATCTTAAACTTCGGCAACAAGAACGCCTACGAAACCGCAATCATTTCCGGAAACACTCAACTTGCTGACGTCATCAAGGAGGTGTCATGTGACGATGCCAGTACGTTTTTAATTAATTAATTTATTTATCTGCTGGTTTATTTACAATGTATTTTAATTATTAACTGACTGGCTCACCATTCTTGCAAACAATTTTAACTTGTTTTTTAGTTTATTTATTCGTCCATTTATTCATTCGTTCGTTCGTACGTTCGTTTGTTCATTCATTCATTCGTTCGTTCGTTTGTTCGTTCGTCTGTCCGTCCGTGCGTCCGTCCGTTTATCTCTCCATCCATCCATCCATTCATTCATCCATCCATCCATCCATCCATCTATCCATTCATTCATTCATTCATTCATTCATTCATTCATTCATTCATTCATTCATTCATTCATTCATTCATTCATTCATTCATTCATTCATTCATTCATTCATTCATTCATTCATTCATTCATTCATTCATTCATTCATTCATTCATTCATCATCTTCATCATCACCGCCAATCAGTACCCTACAAAGACCCGCCAAAATACAACAGCAAACGACGACTAACTCTCGCCAGCCCCAACAGCCTGCTTCTTCAACAACTATCGCGTTGCCACAGCAACCCACAACTGTCTCTAATTGGTGGGCTCGGTTTGAACACGAGCACGCTATTGCCCAGACGAGACGTCAACCAAAACAAGCCCCACTCTTCTACCGTAGGCCCTTCCACGTTTAATAGGAGGCGCGTTACTGACTTACCTGGATTGACCCAATTTACTGAAAAAATGGGTCACAATAACAGTAATAATAACAACAACAGCAGAAATGATAGTTACAATAATAACAATAATAATAATTACATGACGTCATCAGCAAGTCATCGCAACAGGAGTGTCGTTACGATGACGAAATATCCGACTTACTTCAGCAAGAATAGATCCCTGAGTATCTCTAGTAATGAGTCTTTTCACAGTTAGTTTTGTTTGTCTGTTCGTTCGTTTGTTCGTTCGTTCGTTCATTTGTTCGTTTTTTTGTTTGTTTATTTGTTGTTGTTGGTGGTAATGTTTTTAATTTATTTTTTTATTTTCTTTCACTTTATTTTCACCGTCTTAGTTGACGAGATCACTAGAGCCGTTCAGAGGAGAAGGTTCGTGCCTGGCTAGATAGAAATCGTTTTGTGTCTGTTTGTGTGTTCGTGTGTTGTGTTAGTGTGTTTGTGTGTTTTGTTTGTGTGTTGTGATTTTTGTAGCTACAACAGCAGAAACATTTAAAACAAAATTATTTTAAAACATTTCCTGTCGTACTTCTCTATTTCTCTTAGAGAAGTTTCACTCTCAATCTTTCTCTTTCTTTTCTCCTCTCTCTCTCTTTCTTTGTCTTTCTCTTTCTATCTATTTCTCACTCTCTTTCTCTTTCTCTCTCTCTCTCTCTCTCTCTCTTTCTTTGTCTTTCTCTTTCTATCTGTCTCTCTCCCTCCCTCTCTCTCTCTCTCTCTCTCTCTCTCTCTCTCTCTCTCTCTCTCTCTCTCTCTGTCTTTCTCTTTCTATCTGTTCTCACTCCT